GACCTTCACTGACAAGGTCAGAATTTACTGGTTTCTGCTTGCCCATGAGGTGGTGGTTGACAGCCACCTTCTTGAATGGCTGGAGTTTATCTAATGTTGGTCCACCTTCAGTATTTTTAGGGATAGAGTTCCGGGAGTTTGCCCCAGCCCCAGTGAAGGAAATGACGGTATAGTTAGGATGGTGTGTGGCTTGGTGGGGAACTTGCAAGGTGGTGGTGTTTCCATGTATTAGCTGTCTTTATCCTTCGAGGTGACAGAGACCACAAATGCACAAGGTACAATCAAAGGAGCTTGGTGTATTTTGTTGATGCCACTGCTGTTACCAGAGTCTGTAGATGCAGTGAATGTTTAAGGTAGATGTGTGCTTTACTAAAAATGTTCATAGCCATCTTACCTCTTACAGGGGGAAAAAAAACCTTTGGCTTGAATTTGCTATTAATGGCGAGACACTAGCACATGTGAATACTTTCAAAGACATGCATGCAAGAGCCATCTGACATAGTCCGTCCACAGGAATTAGAATTTGATGAATTGTTTAAGGAAATGCACCATTGCTTGACTAATTAAACTGAAGATTATTAATGAATGCATAATCTGAACCAAGAACGTAAATATTAGGCATTCTTAATGTCCCTACCTTTGAGCCAAGAGGCCCAAGTTCAAGTCCCATCTGCTCTAGAGGTGTGTAATAACATTTCTGAACAGGTTAATGATAAACTATCTACAAGACTAAGAAGGTAAATATTTAACTCCAGGCCAAATTATGTACTGAAAGCGACATGAAAGATAGAATTAAGAGGAGTGAAAGATACAAAAAGAACAAGTTACAATATCACCATTTAAAAATAAATCTCCAACAATAATTAAATCTGATGAGGCATTGTGGTATAGTGGCTATTGTCCCTGTTCTGAGCTAGAAGTTCCAGGTCCAAGCTCACTTCAGTACTAGGAGGCCAAGGAAGGCGTATTCATAAAGATAGCCAAACAGGTGAAGTATCTACTTGTAAATCTTCACAACGTATGCCAATGGCAGGAAATAGGAGCAGGAGATATTCCTTGCCAGCAATATGATGGAAAGAAAGTTGGAGCTATATAATTACTATTCATAGTTCTGAGAACAACATGCAGGTAAAAGTGCAGATTGCCACAATAACTTGGACACCTTGAAGAGCCAAATTGGTTGGGAAGCCAATGTGAATCAGATTGATGCCAGCAGCACAGGGTTTGGTCCCTGATTTGGCTTGGATGAATTAGGGACCTGCCTCCATGGTTACATGGTGGAGGACACAGTGCTGTGGGTGAGGTCTGTATTTGGACATGGACTACTTCAGTATCTGAGGAGTCGCTAATGGTGTTGAACACTTGTACAATTACTGGCAAAAATCCCCACTTTGGACCTATATGAAGAAGGTCATTGATGAAGTGACTGAAGATGGCTGACTTAGGACACCACCCTGAAGGAACTCCTGCAGGAATGTCCTGGAGCTGAGTTGATTGACCTCCACCAACCGCAACTGTCTTCCAATGCGCCAGGTATGTCTCCAACTAGCAGAGAGTTTGCCTCCGACACCCATTGATTTCAGTTTTGCTAGGGATCCTTGATGCTAGACTTGGTCGAATGTGGCCTTGATGTCAAGGGCTGTCACTCTCGCCTCACCTCTGGAATTCAGCTCTTTTGTCCATGTTTAAACCAAGGCTATAATGAGGTCAGGTGCTGACTGGCCCAAGCTGGGTGTCATTGAGCAGGTTATTGCTGATCAGGCACTAATTGATAAACTGAAGATAACACCCTCCATCACTTCACTGATGATCGTGAGTAGACCGATGGGGTGGTAATTGGCTGGCTGGGTTAGAGTTATCTTGCATTTTGTGTACAAGACATACCTGGGCAGTTTTCTACATTGTCAGGTAGATGCTATTGTTGTAACCATACTGGAATAGTTTGGTTAGGGGAGCACAAGTCTTCAGTACTATTACTGGAATGTTATCAGGACCCATAACCTTTGCATTATCCAGTGCCTCCAACTGTTTTTTGATCCATGGGGAGTAAATCAAATTTGCTTAAGATTGGCATCTGTGATGCTGTGGACCTCTGGAGGAGCCATTGATGGATCATCCACTTGGCACTTCTGGCCGAGGATTGCTGCACATGCTTCAGCCTTTTCTTCCATACTGATGTCCTCAGAGGATGTGGATGTTTGGGGAGCCGCCTCCTCCAGTGAGTTGTTTAATTGTCCACCACCATTCACAACAGATGTGGTAGGACTGCAGAGCTTAAATCTGATCTGTTGTATGTGGGATCACTTGGCTCTGTCTATCACTTGCTGGTTATGCTGTTTGGCATACAAGTACAAAGAACAAAGAAAATTACAGCACAGGAACAGGCCTTTCGGCCCTCCAAGCCCGCGCCGATCCAAATCCTCTTTCTTAACCTGTCGCCTATTTTCCAAGGATCTGTATCCCTCTGCTCCCTGCCCATTCATGTATCTACCTAGATACATCTTAAATGACGCTATTGTACCCCCCTCTACCATCTCTGCTGGCAACGCATTCCAGGCACCCACCACCCTCTGCGTAAAGAGCTTTCCACGCATATCTTCCTTAAACTTTTCCCCTCTCACCTTGAAATCGTGACCCCTAGTAATTGAGTCCCCCATTCTGGGAAAAAGCTTCTTGCTATCCACCCTGTCTCTACCCCTCATGATTTTGTAGACCTCAATCAGGTCTCCCCTCAACCTCTGTCTTTCTAATGTAAATAATCCTAATCTACTCAACCTTTCTTCATAGCTAGCGCCCTCCATACCAGGCAACATCCTGGTGAACCTCCTCTGCACCCACTCCAAAGCATCCACATCCTTTTGGTAACTGTACGCAGTATGCCAAATGTGGTCAAACCAAATTCCTATACAACTGTAACATGACCCACCAACTCTTGTACTCAATACCCTGTCCGATGAATGAAAGCATGCCGTATGCCTTCTTGACCACTCTATCGACCTGCGTTGCCACCTTCAGTGTACAATGTACCTGAACACCCAGATCTCTCTGTGTATCAATTTTCTCCAGGGCTTTTCCATTTACCGTATGGATCTTCCAAAATGCATCACCTCGCATTTGCCTGGATTGAACTCCGTCTGTCATTTCTCCGCCCAACTCTTCAATCTAGCTATATTCTGCTGCATTCTCCAACAGTCCCCTTCACTATATGCTACTCCACCAATCTTGGTGTCATCCGCAAACTTGCTAATCAGACCATCTATACCTTCCTCCAGATCATTTATGTATATCACAAACAACAGTGGTCCCAACACAGATCCCTGTGGAACACCACTTGTCACAGTTCTCCATTTTGAGAAACATCCTTCCACTACAACTCTCTGTCTCCTGTTGCCCAGCCAGTTCTCTATCCATCTAGCTAGTACACCCTGGACCCCATGCGACTTCACTTTCTCCATCAGCCTACCATGGGGAACCTTATCAAATGCCTTATTGAAGTCCATGTATATGACATCCACAGCCCTTCCCTCATTTATCAAATTTGTCACTTCCTCAAAGAATTGTATCAAGTTGGTAAGACATGACCTTCCCTGCACAAAACCATGCTGCCTATCACTAATAAGCCCATTTTCTTCCAAAAGTAAATAGATCCTATCCCTCAGTATCTTCTCCAGCAGCTTCCCCACCAGTGACGTCAGGCTCACCGGTCTATAATTACCTGGATAAGAAACAAAAGTTACGATTGGAATGGCTGTACAATCAGTACAGAGTCAAGGATTGTGGACACCAGCAGCAATCTTCTGAGCTATGTTCAGAGTCAAAGAAACATTAAGGACTATACAATGCAATTGAAAGATTCCTTAAGACACCAATGGCGCAGACATTTTCTGATTTGAGTCAAACAGGAAACTTGTGTTTCTGACCTCTTCAACCAGTCCAATTACAAACAATTGTGAATGTGGCCTATAATCAGTGTTTGGACTAGACAAGTTGGGGCATCATATACATATAATTGCTCAAGGCTCACTCATCCATTATGGTTACTAGAAACAACAAATTGGGAGCTTTCCCACATACTTATAGGCAACAAGTTTTACAATTGGTTTTTAGGAGTATGGTGAGCAGTTTTCCAAAGGAACAAAGATAGTTTGAAGTCACTTAATTTTAAGATTTGTAGCTCTCAAACAATAATTAATCTTCTTGGAAATATTACTAGCCTCCTTATACACTAGCACCAAAGATATTTCCATTTAGAATTATAGAGAGCGAGAGACCAGTGGCCACTTCAATGGCTATCGTCCATTTTCCCCTTATGGATTTCTATTTGTGAAATGCTTAAAATGCCTAAAAATGATAGTGTTGCAAACTCAATGCAGATGCATAATTTTCTTCATCAGTTATATCTTGTGGTTTCTTAATTCATGTGTGTAAAAAAAGATGCACCAATTCAGAGCATTTCTTGAGATTATTTGCAAAATAATTTGTGCTTTGTCTTATTTGGAGATTGTTTGAAATCTGATCTATGGCTGTGGATAGATTGAAGGCAGCAAATAATGCGCCTACCAGAAAGGCCTGATGCACACTTTGAAAGTAGACCATCCAGATTAAAAGGTTTTAAATTAAAAATTAAGCCAACCAGTTATCAGAGAATAATTTTGAGCTCAGCAGGTCATTTATTCATTTCATTTGTTAAATAATAATGGCAAATATAAAAAAAATTATGAATAAAATATTGAAGTGTTTAATAATTTGGTAGGATAAAAAGAAATAAGGTATTTATGGCGTTTTCTGAAAATGCCTGATCACCAGACCAAAAACACTGTTCAATTACAATGTTTAGAGAATTACACCTTCAAATTTGGAGATGGAAGTAAGTGGAAGGGGTGGGGGTCTTGAATGTTGAAAAGTATTAATAAAGGTGGTGTGAAAAAGACCTCAGCCTGGTCTAAACTGTTTTCTGTTGAGATAGAAATGTTTCAGCAGCAACATCTGAGATTATACAGTGTCAACCACATGGTGTTATAAAACCACCAGGGCTTTTATTAACCAAAAGAAGACACAAAGCACTAAGAGAATGACAATGCAATGTCTCCTGCACTATACAATAGCACAGTGAAGCAAAACAGTTGTAGCAAAATTTGAAAAAATGAAGTGAAAAACATTGTATTAACAAAAGTGTAAGCACCAAACTTTTTCTTTATACTTCAAATGTGTAAACAGTTCATCGTTAGCCATACTGACTAGCTGTAAGACGAGGACAAGACATCGGAGATATAAAGTGCAAACTTCAAGTTAACATTCATAGTAGGTTGTACTCCCAGTACAAAACATTGTTAGTGTCTGTATATGGTTTGCACATTTGAAACATAAATAAAAATTAAAGTTTTTAACATTATAAGCTCCAGCCTCAATGTCAGTGTTAACCTCAGTAGCCACAATTGTAAAGAAGTATTTTACATAATATATTATACAATGAATAATGACAAATTGTTAGAGTAGGAAAGGAAAAGGTTTGACTCTAGTCTGAGTACTTTATTTAGAAATAGGTTGTTCGTACTTCCAGTATTCATTGTGGCTTTTAGAAAATAAATAAAAAAACACAAACAAAGCTGTGACTCCCTTTGTTTTCATTGCACTTTAAGCAGCAGTAACAATAGTCTCTCTATACAGTTCTTCCCTTATGCGGAGATTCTCCTGGAAATCGGGTGCTTTCTGATTGGTCTACACCCACAGGTGGTCTCTGTGTGTACAAAAATGATAGGAGGAAAAGAGCGACGTCTAGAGATGACCAATAAGAAGTGTGTGATGTTACTGCAGACCAATACCTGCTTTCTACAAGGCCCTCCCGCAGTTCAAAATCAAGGCGATGTTCTAACTCCACTAACAGAGAAAAATAAAATTATTGTCAATGCTTCAGAATGCAAACAACAATTAAATTATGCATACATAAGTTGTACATTGCATGCTCAGCTAGCTCTCAATTATATGTTTCTGTGCGAAGGGTTTGAAATCAACACAATAAAGACTGACAAGCTGAAAAATTGCATTGTTGACCTCTTTGAGCTGGTTGAACCACTCAGTTCACTAGGAGCCAGAAGAGACAATGGCCTCAGCCAACTTTACATTGACCTTGTGCCAATTTTACCATTAGATGTATTACAAAACTCTCCTCTTTCAGTACCTGCAGGCAACTCGCAACCAGGATATTAATTGTGCCTCTATTTTAAAAACTTTAGACCTGAAAAGCACATTGTATTATCCAAAATTACGGGTGATTCTTCACAGGTTTGGTTCCCTAAAGATAGTCAAGGACCCAAGGCTCACCCTCCATGTCCTGGAGGGGCACATTCAATTAGATTTGGAGAACACTGTTATAGCCATTGGTTCTTGCCCACTACATTCCAGCATCAAATGTTGGAATTCCAGAAGCAGTAGAAGACCAATATTTCAGAATATTTCTTGGGAATCCTTGAAAATTGCCAAGTGCTTAGAAAAAGAAATGTAGCAATTATATTAGTTCATTTCATCAAATATAGTACAAAGTGACAACAGGCAAAGTATTTGAAAATATCATGTACACTTGAACAATTAAAACTTGCATATACTAACCTGTACCATACAAAAGACCAGAATTATTGCGTGACAGCAGCTTTGGACTGTACTGAGCTTCAGTTGTTCTCCTCTCTTCTACAACTGGTTCATCCTTGTATTCCTCAGTGATTGAAGAAGAACGCGTGAATCTTGCAAACAGTATTCCACCAATACCTTTTCCGATGTGTGCAGCTCCTAATAGGAATACAAAACTAAGAATTAAGTAAAAGATAGGAAAATGTCATATTTTGACAAAGATACCTAAAAGCCCACACGCAAGCTTTCACTGACCTTGAGAAACCATGCATACTGAAATGATCAGAAATAATGCTGTTTGTAAAATAATGAGTTGTCAGGCTCAAGGCATTGTTTGGAAGTTCAGATTAAAAAGGCTTCAAATTTGAAGCAACAGATGAGATCAACAGTTACCTCACGATAGTAAATTGAATCATAGATGTACAAGTTAAGAATAGCATGGAAGGCAAAAAAGCATAAACTGACTCCAAGGAGAATCAGTGCAGCCAAAACGTATGAAAGGATTGTTCAGTGGGCATAGACATTATGGTGACAATGGCATGCCTACAGATACTGTTTCTGGGTTATTTGAGATAGTCATTTTGATAAGTGTCTTCAGAGAATCATCAGTACATGAATGTGTTTTTCCTTACTGGAAAAGGGGGAGATATTCTTAAGGATTATTTGGCCAACTGTTGCTTCCACTACTTGTTGTCGCTGGTTTTCAGCCTGGTCATCCTGCTACTCTTGACCCCTTCCCTCTTTCTCATCCTGTTTATGCCCAAGTAGAATTACTTAAAAGGTAATGTTGCAAAGAAAAGCAGAGCACAATCCTTCATATTCTCACTGGGATATGTTGTAGAGATTCCTCTCCACACTGAGTGCCTCAGAGTGAACATCAATGTCATTTGTCTGGACTAAGATCATTCTACTGTTCATTTTATTACTTACGCTTAAGTTAGGATAGGCGGACTGGTTCCCTTCCCTCTTCCATTTGAGTTTGAGATTAAAGGGGAGGTGATATTGCTAATTATAAATATTAAACTGTATATAACTCAGTATCAGAAACCAGTCAGGCAGATTCCTTAAGTTACATAAATAAAGAATTAGATTTATTGCAATAAATGTACTCAAGCAAGGCTGCAAACATTATGAACCAAAGTTTTAAAATGTGCAAACTTAGGACTACACTTAGGGAAAAATAATATACACACCTCCTTCCAAGCCTTTAAAAAATTCTACTGAGTATTATTTTAAAAGCACTTTAACCCAGTAACAGATAAATATACAACAAAAATCATAGATTGTTCAAATTTTGGTCTGCAGCCAAAGTCACTTTTCACTTAAGCTATTGGTACTGGGTTTTTTTCTGGATCTGGCTGAATTCGCTTTTCCTGGAGACAGACTTCTACTTTTAAAATCCTTCTCTTGTGGTGATGTGGTTATTCTGAGTTTTCAACTTGATAAAAGGGATTTCAGAGTAAGAGAGGGGGAAAAGATTGTTACCTGTGGCAGTTTTTCCTCAGACTATGTTCAAATTCAATATATTTTACACCCACAAACCTGGTCACATGACCTGTTTCTGGAAAAAGTGTCACAGACTTGGTGTTTTCGTTCAAGCAGTTTGTGTTATCTGCCAATGGAATATTTTTGTCAGTGTTGCTAACAGTATAACTGGTCTCAAGGAGACATCTAGTGTGCAAAAAGTTGGCTGCATTAATTGTAGCAACAGGCAGGAAACACTGCTTGTTTTGCAATTAAAATTTACTTTATATTGGACCTTTCATTACTTCAGGATGTCTCAAACCAATTAACAGCTTTTGAATGAGTGTAATGATTGCACTAAAAATGGACAATCAATTTCTGACTTCCAAAATCTTTAATACCTACGACGTTTCAGGGATGAAAGCAGTTTTAAGGAAAACACTGACTTCAGAGATCCGCAGTGATTACCTGACCAGATCTAGCTAAGCTCATGAAACCATTAATAAAGAAGACACAGTCAAAACTGAAATTAAAATAACAAACTGACTGAAACCAGTTGCTTGGATCTGCATCTCCTGTTTCATTTTCATATTTTTGAAAGGCTCCCCTGCAGATAATCCAGCTTGTGAAAAAAGGAAGCCAGACACAGGAATATACAAATTAACTATATTTCAAACAGCAGCTTTTGGGAAGAGCAGAGAGAAAGGAAATGGGTTTGTAACAGCTGGCATGCAACAGAAGGTATGCTGTCTCTCCCTGCCTCTCAACAGACAATGCCTGTGATAGAACATATCAGAAAAACATCCATTTATGAGAACTCAAAGATAATTACAAATTTCACAATGATAAGGATACAAGCCATCAATTAAATTAGTGGTCTCTTAATAAACCTAACACCTTGAGGACTCTACGGACATTTTAAAGTGCATATTCCTGATCTTCATTTTTGTACAAGACATTCTCCCCTTTTGAAACATTATACCTGTGTCTGTTTGGTGTTGTGCTTTATTATTTTTCTCGAGGTCAATGAATAAAATTCCTCTTTCTTCCACTAAAGAAAACCTTGTAATTCAAAAACCTTGAACCAGCAAACTGTGTTTTAATTCAAGTGTGCTAAAGCTGCGTGCTGAAAATAATTAAAAATAAAGGGTAAATATTGGCCATCACAACTTGCTCTTTTACTCCACAAGAATCTTGAATGCCTGTCTGAGAAAGCTGATGGGGCTTTGGCTTAAAATCTAATCTAAAAGGCAGCACTTTCAAAAGTATAGCATTTCTTAATCCTGCATTAGAATATTAGGTTGGATTTTTGTACTCAAATTTCTGGAGTGGGATCTGAGATCTCTTGACTATTAGTTGTCTGTTGAGCCACAGCTGGTAGTCAGAAACCAGTTGCTCTTTAAGGGTATTAAAAACTATAACAGCAGAAACAACTTCCATAATTAAATGGAGCACTACTCCAAATTTTTGCACTAAATGATTTCCCTGTAGTTTTGAGGAACCTGCAATTCTATAAAATTGAAATTTACTCTCATGATTGTGCTTAGAGGTTCCCTGAGGCTCTGAAGTAAAGGTTAGCTCGAAGGAACATCCATTGTCACTTACAATGCTGAGATTTCAATCATTTTAGAGATAACTAGATATAGTAAAAAATTAATCAGTCATACAGAAGTCTGATTGTGGTGGTGGTGACCGACAGAAAGGCCTTGTTGCATAGTTCATAAATGAACTTTCTCAATGAGTACAGTGTCTAAAGTCTTTTCTTAAAATTCATTCATGGGAAATAGGTATCACTGGCCAGGCCAACATTTATTCCCAATCCTCAAGTCCACTTGAGAAGGTGGTGAGCTGCCTCCTGGAACTGCTGCAGTCCTTGGGGTGTAGGCGTATCCACGATGTTGTTAGGAAGAAAGGGAATTACAGGATTTTAATCTTATGACAGTGAAGGAGCAGCAGTCAGGACGGTGTGTTTTTTTTAAAAATTGATTTATTACTGTATCATGTACTGAGATACAGTAAAAACACTGTTTTGCAAGCTAAGCGCACATACCATACCTTACATAAGTGCAGCAGACTAAAAATACAGAATGCAGAATATAGTGTTAGCTTGGAAGGCAACTTGCAGGCAGTGACATTTCATGCATCTGCTATGACTGCTCCTCTAGGTGGCAGAGATGATTTTTGTAAGGTACTGCTAAAGTGTTGGGTAAGTTACTACAATGCATTTGGTAGATGGCACAATCTGTGTAGGTGGTGAGGAGAGTGAATGTTGAAGGAGTCAGTTGGGTATCAACAGTGTGGGCGGTTTGGTCCTGGAAAGTGTTGAATCTGTGTGGTGTTGGAGCTGCACCTATCCAGACAATTGGAGAACATTTATCACATTTCTGATTTGTGCCATATAGATGACGGACAGACATTGGGAAACAGGAAGTGAGTTAATCACTGCAGAATTTCCAGCCTCTGACCTGCTCTTGTAGCCACGGCATTTGTATGGATGGTCGAGTTGAGCTTCTGGTCAATGCTAAGCCCCAGGATGTTGATAGTGGGGAATTCAGCAATGGTAATATCATTGAATGTCAAGAGGCAATGGATAGCCTTTCTCTTGTTGGAGACGTCATTACCTGGCACATAATAGGCACAACTGTTGGTTGCCATATATCAGCCTAAGCCTGGGTAATGTCCAGGTCTTGCTGTATGTGGACATGGATTGGCTCTGATATGAGAGGGGTGACAAATTATGCTGAACATTGTACAAACACCAGTGAATAACCTTACTTCTGAATTTATGATCAAGGGGAGGTCATTGATAAATCAGCTGAAGACAGGCTTAGGAAACTACCCTGAGGCACTCCTACAGTCATTAAATTATTGACCTCCAACAACCATAACCATCTTTCTTGTTGCGAGGTACGACTTCAAACACTGGAGAGTTATCTCTCCATTCCCATTAAACACGTTTTGTCAGAGCTCCTTGATGCCACAGAGGGAGAAATGCAGCCTTGAATGTCATGGACAGTCACTCTGACCTCGCCTCCAGAATTCAGCTCTTTTGTCTATGATTGGACTAAGACCGTAATGTGGTCAGGAGCCGAGTTGCCCTGACAGAACCCAAACTGAACACCTATGAGCAGGTCTGTCTTTTCCAAGTGCATCTTGACAATGCTGTTAATAATCACTCATCACTTCACTCACGATTGAGAGTAGACTGCTGGAGTGATAATCAGTCAGGTTGGGTTTGTCCTGCTTTGTGTGGACAGGAAATACCTAGACAATTTTCCACAATGCCAGTGCTGAGCTGCACTGGAACAACTTGGCTAGGAGCATAGCTCATCTGAAGCACAATTCTTCAGTATTATTGCTGGAACATTGTCAGGGCCCATAGCCTTTGCAGTATGCAGTGCCAGCAGCCATTTCATAAAAACATATGGAATGAATTGAATTGGCTGAAGACTGGCACCTGTGATATTGGGGACCTCAGTAAGAGGCCGAGATGGGTCAATCACTGGGCACTTCTGACTGAAGCTGGACGTAAATACCTTGTGTGTTGCACTGATGTGATGTGCTTCCCCAACACGGAGAATGGATTTTTTGTGCTGAAATTTTTGTGCAGTCTCCTCTTGTTAGTTGTTTAGTTGTCCACTGTGATTCAGAACTGGATGTAGCAGGGTGTGATCTGTTGGCTGTGGATCACTTGGCCCTTTATCCTGCACTTTGCTTCCACTTTCTGGCATGCTAGTGGTTCTGTGTTGTAGCTTTACCCAATTCTGCTCCTGGCATGCTCTCCATCACTTTCCATTCAGCCTACAAACGAGTGAAAGCTCAGGAGTATTGGTCTTTATATCATGGTGTGAAGGCACCAGAAAAATGTGCCATAAATACCTCTCGTGTTGCTTGAATAACCTCATACTTCTTCCTTGCTCTTTGCTAACCTCGTCCAAAACAAATATGGAGCTGGATTTTTCTTCCCTGCTAGGGACAGAAGCAGCTGGACAGAACAGGGCTATCTGCCTGTAAGTAGATTAGCCTATTGAAGGCCTTTTAAAGCCCATTAATTAAGGTTGACTGACATTTTTCCAATTGGTCTCCAGGTCCCTGGAACAGTAGCTGCCCAGAGGCTGCCCAATAGTAGACCGAAGAAAGGAAAAGAGACTAGTCTTCAGGCAATCTTAGAGGCTCTCTCTGCATGCCAGATGCAGAAACCACTATGTTCCTCTCCACCCACCTCCACAATGGTGGCCAGGTTGCTGAATCTATTTTTACCTTCAACTTTGCAAACAAAAAAGTGCGCCTTCTTCATCACTTACCTATCGAATGGCAAATACACCCTCTGGGCATTAAATACCTGCTAAGGGGAAAATTACAAGCGTGGTTTCTGATTCCAATTACGGCAGGGTTCAGAAGCCTGAAAGGAAAATCCTGTCCGTGGAGCGGACTGTCCCCCAAGGAAAATCCAGTCAGTTCCCTCCGTTGTTTCACAGATCAAAACATTAACCCCATGGCAAACAAACACAAGTCTTAATGACAAAACTTCTGCAGTTAGAAATATGGTTCAGCAATGTATTTTTAATCATAAAAAAACTTTGTACTTGCAAATACCTTTTAAACAACCTCCACACTGGCAGAGAAACATTTTGTGGTCAAGATAAAGGAAAACCATTAGCATTTTGGCCATTTTTATGATACAAATACATTAAGTACTGATAATAAATGCCTTTTAGGAGCCATAAAATAAATCTGATTTGCTCTATTGCATTCTTGTTATTTAACACATTTAAAAACAGATACATTTTTAATACCTCACCCATTATACTTGCTTTTCCTAGACTGGTTATTGATTCCCCATAGTTTCGTCGAGGTATAACTGGCGAGGTACTTGGACTTGGCATATTTTCCATTTCTGTATGTGAGGTAGATGCTGAGGGAGGCATTGAAGGATTCATCGACTCTTTGGCAGGCTTGATGTAGGTTGGCCTTATGTCATCGTACTTTGTTAAGACAGTTGTGTTGTACCAATGGATTTGGAGGGGTGCAATATTACTGTAATGTTTCAAGATCAGAGGTTCTAGTCGATAGGCCTACAAATGAATTAAGATTTCACACTTGTCAAGTTTCTAACTGTTCATTTTTTGTACTTTGTTTATATTCATTCATGGGATGTGTGCATCGCTGGCTAAGTCAGCATTTATTGCCCATCCCTGATTGCCCAGAGAGCAGTTAAGAGTCAACCACATTGTTGTGGGTCTGGAGTCACACGTAGACCAGACCAGGTAAGAATAACAGATTTCCTTCCCTAAAGGACATTAGTGAACCAGATGGGGTTTTCCTGACAATCGGCAATGGTTTCATGATCATCATTGGACTCTTAATTCCAAATTTTAATTGAATTCAAATTCCACCATCTTCCATGGCGGGATTCAAACCCAGGTCCCCAAAACATTACCTGAGTCTCTGCATTAGTTGTCTAACAATACTACCACTAGGCTACTACCTACCCTATTTTGCCACATTTTAAGTGGTAAGGTATTTCAGAACATCTATTAAATGCTAAACATGAGTTGAGAGACTAATCAAAGCATTAAATATATCACAGAAATCACAAATAAGACGCTGTACTTTTTTTTAGTACCCTGTGGTTGTGTATGCCTTTGAAAGGATGTGAAATACTGGTTAAGACTGAGGAGTGCCATTAGTAGCACCCACTATGACATCAATGCACCAACTTGCAGGTAGAACAGCTTATGTGTCACTCCTTTGACATCCTATCATCTAGTCCTCCTCGATACTTCGGTAATAATAAAAACCGAAAGAACTGCGGATGCTGTAAATCAGGAGCAAAAACAGAAGTTGCTGGAAAAGCTCAGCAGATCTAGCAGCATCTGTGAAGAAAAAGACCAGAACGTTCTGAGGGAGGGTCACCGGACCCGAAACGTTAACTGTTTTTTTCCTTCACAGATGCTGGCAGACCTGCTGAGCTTTTCCAGCAACTTCTGTTTTTGCTTCAGTAATAATGTCTACCATATTGTAACCTTAACTAGTTGCTAACATGCAAAATACTATATCTTGTTAAATACAAGAGACTCTTTTAGTTAGGCCAGGAAATAGTTTTCCTCTACTAGACCAAGCAGGCCTTGTCCATTTTCTACGCTTAAAGAGGATGGTGCCCAAAATCTTTATCAAGAATGGCAGCTCATACAGCACACTGAGCTGGTATGCTTATCCAACACAAGGTATTTGAAATAAGCATTACGTTTTCACTCATCCAATGCCATTATCAATATTCCTAGTTCAAATCCTGAGGCATTTTTGTTTATCTTGTATCTTACAGAAAATAGAATGAGAGCTCCTATCATTTCACTCAGAAACCTTACTGGCAACAAAGGCAGTTCAGTTTATAAAGTAATGTTTAAATCATTGCGCAATCTGGGAAATGGAAGCTGATGCTTTTTTCTTTTAACTAGTTTTCCTATACTAACCAATAGAGAAATGAAATATATTGCATTTTAGGCTCTCTCTTTAATATTGTACATACTCTTGGTACAAATATAGTACAGTTTGAACAAAATAAACCTCTCGTGTGTTTTCATTCTAAACAGAAAAGTGCCAGTATGATATTCATTTAGTTTAAATTTATCCATTTCATAGTCCACCACAATTGCATTGGACAAGATTTACATAGACTATGAACTCAATATGAAGCTAGGGTGAAACACCAATGTACAATCCGCAATTGATTGTTTCAGTTTCAAATAGTGTCATATACCTCACGGTTATTCAAGTCTTCTCTAATCCCTTTTACCTAATGTGTGTATGATATTGTGAAAGTCTAAGAGAAAGTTGTTTAAACTGTGGATTGGGAACAAGAACACAAAAAAAATGTAAAATAAATGCAGTTTTAGAGTTTACAGTTATGATTATTTCATAGTTCAAGAGATCACAAACACTGTCAATGGTCATTACATGTAGAATGAGAACTTACTACAGGGTCTGTCGGATGAAATATATTGTACAATCGGCCACAGATACTTTTCGGTAGAATGTGATCCTGATTACCAGTATGCTGCGGACGTATGCCACGCAATGCTAGGAAAACTGCTAGAGGGGATCCCATGCAGAAGAAGTTTTCAACCTGAAATAAAATTAATTTAATTTTCACTTTGACAAATATTGTTGAAAATAAATGGCTCAAAACAAAAACGCAGAAACATCTAATCTATTAGGAATTCACAACCAGAAAATAGTGATCACAATGATCACCAACATTCTGGACTACAATGAAAATTCAGCTGTTATTTTCAACATTGGAATGGATACTTTTTTAAAATTGATACTGCATATGCATAAATAAAGTCTCAAATTTTAATAAATACAAGAAGCCAAATGCATTTTTATGAATCCACTATAATGAATGAGTTGCGCTGTCCAACAAGTGGAAGGAGCTCATGATCTTCTTTGTCATTAAGGTAGAGGTCGCCGGTTCTGTTTCTTTCCCTTATACACCAAGGTAAGCCTTGGCCAAAGCTCCCCCTTACCCTATCCATAATTATGAGTCTTTGGTTGATGGCTTGAAGCAGGCCAATAACTGGAATCATACCAGTGGCTAAAATATCAATGTACAAGAAATAATCTGAATTCCATGAATTGCTATGATCTACATAAAGCACCACTGCAGATAGTGTGAACCTTGAGAATAAAAACAATTTAGAGCACATGATGTCTATGGCTGTTATCAGATAATGCAAAATTCACTCCACCAAGTTGCTGCCATCTTATTTGGTAGATGCACTGTTTGGTTCATCCTCATTCACTGGTTGCTTCTAATGATTTGCTACTGGTAGTAGTGTCATCTTAGGTTGGGCAAGGGAACGTCCATGTTATAGACAATTTACTCCTATCTACCACTTTCAACTCAACTGAGTTGAAATTATAGCTTGTTTTTGACAACATAAGCCATTAAAAAGCATGTACTGGTAAAACAAAGACACTGCACCAGTCACCAAAAGTACAATGTTGTTGAGAACAATATCTCTAAATTCTCATGTGAATTTAAATAACTTAGTCCTTTTTTTGTTAGCAAGAGACAGAAGTCTTACCTCAATGAATTTCAGTTACATAAAATTTTAAATTGCTGGTAATGAAACTATATCTAAACTTACCTTAAATTTCAAAGCAGGTAATCTGAATGGAGCTGATGCTTTCACTTGAAGTAACTGGTGTTCTAATTTTTTTAATCTGCGAAACAAAATTTAAATATCAATGGACACCCATATAAAAGGGTGCTGTAATTTTTTTCATAAAAACCAAATTTATAAAAGCACCTCTAATTTTCAACTGCATTTTTACTACCTGTTGTCAACTGCAGTGTTACAAGCAATATTCACAGTTCAATACTTAATTATATCTCTATCCTAACCAAGGGGATATCCCAGCTGGTTAAGAAAATTAAGATAGATATGCACGTGCCCATAAACTGCTACTCATCATATCCTTAAGGCAACTTTTGGATAAAATCTAGACTCATGCATGCTGACTGATATGCTCTGCAATGATATGGTAAGTTTGCAATAACAGACCACCCACATGACTTGCAAAGCAAGAAAAGTAAAAATCCGAAATGCACATCACTCTGGAGCACTTCAATCTGTAAATGCACCTTGTAAATGCAGACTCCAGGCCATTGATAAGAAACATCTGAGATCAATTGCCATGAGTGAGGTATATGGTACGGAGACCTAAATAATTACAGCAAATGAGGGAAGAACTGTCACTGATCATTTTTCCAGATAAACTGTCACTGATCACCTTTCCAGATAAAGTGTGACTCTGTGTTGCCTATTACAGAGTTGTGGCATAGGACTAGATAATTATTTCAATATAAATCTAACTATAACAAATCTAGCTGCAAAGCAAGACTCAGGATGTATATACAGGGAAGGACAAGTAAGGAAAACGAGTGTGGAGGAAGATAAAGTCAGGTGGGGGAAAGGAGACAGAGCGAGCGAGAGACACACAAAAGAGAGAGAGAGACAGACAGACAAAGAGAACAATGGAAGAGAAGAAAGATTGCTGATGACTGCAACAATTCAGGAAGAGAGTAGTGCCATGATAACATTACAAAACGTGTCATCTTATTTTGCTTCAAGAGAATCCCACAAAACATAATGAGCCATACACCCTATTGCACCTGAGCCTGCATTCTTAAAAAAAGTACTTAATCCTATTTTGTAGTCTTTTCCATATTCTTTCTTTAAAAATCTGTTCATTGTGTCTAAGTGCACAAGGTCATCTTTTGTTATCTATACTTAATTGCCTTTAACTGAGCCACATTTATGAACCTCTATAGTCCACATGGTATAGATACAGAACATCACAGCTTGGGAGAGAGTTCCAGGGATTTGACCTAGTGATAAGTGAAGGAATGGCAATATATTTCCAATTTGAGAACCTGCAGGTGGTTGCGTTCCCATGCATCTGTTGCCCTGTCTTTCTACACAGTACAGGTTTATGAAAAGGTGCTGTCAAGGGAGACCTCGGCAGTCACGTTTGTGCACCTTGTAAGTGATCCATATCGTTGCCTTGTGCAGCAGATGGGAAGGGAATGAATATTTAAGGTGATGGATATAGCGCTGAACAAGCAGGCTGCTTTAGCTTGGATGGTATTACTCATCATGACTATTTCTGGGGCTGCACTGAGCTACATAATTAAAAGTATTTCAACACACTGGCACCTGGCTTGTAGACGATGGGAAGCGTTTGGGAAAACCAGGAAAAGACTTATTTGATATAGAATGTCCAGTCTCCAAACCCCAGATTTCTCACTACAAGCCTTATTCTAGCGCCCCCAAAAAAAATCCATTCAGCTTTACTCATTATTTGCTATTGTAGTGTTTGCAATGACATCAATCAGCTGGATCCATAGAATGAGTTGCCTGATTGGGGCTGTTAATCCGGTCCAATCAGGGAGCTCTGGCTGGCAAGATAAAAAGAGACGTGTCAGAGATTCTGACACTCTGGGTGCAGACTCTAATGAGGCTGTGCCAGAGCGATGGACTTTCCATGTGTAAACAAAGGGTGACGGGACACCAGCCTTTGTGGAGTTATTTCACCCAACTCTCAGCCAATTTTGTATCCACTTTGCTACTGTTCCTTTTATTCCATGCCCTGTAATTTTCTTCAATATATTGGCACACAATAGACTTGGACACCTTCAAACCTCTCTGCTGTATCTTCAAAAAACTCTAGCAAGTTACTTAGACATGACTGCCTCTTAACAAATCCATGCTGATTCTTCTGAAATCAATCCATATGACTAACAATTCTATCCCAAATAGTTCCACAAGTTTCTCCACCACTGAAATTAAACTGACTAGCCTGTAATTATAACCATTTTTGAACGAGGGAGTAATGCTTTGCAAAAAAACCAAAGAACCGTGGATGCTAGAAATCAGGAACAAAAACAAATTGCTGGAAAACTTGGCAGGTCTGGCAGCATCTGTGGAGAGAAATCAGAGTTAACGTTTCGCATCCCATGAACCTACTTCAGAACAGGCTTTGCAATTCTCCAATCCGTAAGACCATTAGAGTTAGGAGCAGAAATAGGCTATTCGATCCATCAATTCTGCTCTGCCATTCAGTGAGATTATGGCTGACCTGATAACCCTCAACTCCACTTTCCTGCTTTTGCCTCAGATCCCATGATTCCCTTACTAAAATAAAGTATCTGTCTCAGCCTTGAATCTACTTAATAACTCACTCTTCACAGCCTCTGCAGTAAAGAATTCCACAAGTTCATTATTCTCAGAAGAGACTCCCCTCTTCATCTCAGTCTTAAATGGGTGACCCCATACTCAAGATTATGTTCTCTGACCTATCATCGCCCACAAGGTGAAATAGCCTCTCCGTATCCAGCCTGTCAAGTCTAAGAATCTTATTTGCTCCTCCAGCACCACCCTCAAATCCAAGTAATATCCAATATCTTTGGACACATCTCAGTCACGTCCAGTGCCTTATGACCTTTAAATAACAACAGCCTATTCAATACCTATCAATTTTAAAACCCTCTAGTGAGAGGGGTTCCTCCTCTGTCACCATGAACTGGGCAGCATCTGAGTTGTAGTTAAAGACAGAGGCAAAATATTCATTTAGCACCTCAACTATGCCACTTGACTCCAGTGTAAATACACTTTTTTAGTCTTTGATTGTCTCTAAGCTTCCTCTTCCTGCTCAGACATTAATATATTGAGTTCTATGGTCTCTTTTCCCTTCTGCAGTCTAAATCTACACATTTTTTGGAAATCTGATCATCTTTACTACATTTCCGTTAAGCCAACAAACGAGAGCCCTTTTTCCATGATGCAACACAAATCAAAAATAAAAAACTACCATTGCAAAAATCTGAACTGACTCATTAGTAATACGATGTATGTTCAGTAATTTAAGTCGCTAACATTGAAAACAGCACGGGTTTAGCATACTATCACGTATTAATCTTTACCGTTCCTTAGTCTTGAGAATCTCATCCAGAAGCTCACGCTCCTCAAAACTCATGGAATTCTCAGTTAGCTCTTCTTCCTCTTGGACCATTTTGTCATAAAATCGCACTGGATACCAACCAGTCATAATATCATATGTGATGACACAGCCCAACGAATGGGCTACTATCGAAACCTTCCCACCTTGGATTTCAAAATCTGGGTTCCGAGAACAGAAAAGTGCATATAACCGATTTAACTCCTGCTGAAGGCCTTTCACAATCTGAAGAAAGAAAAATTTAAAAACATAATAATCTGCCTAGCTTTCACTACAATACTGTTCATATAAGGCTGGAATGAAACAAAAAATTGCCACGTGATGAATGCAACTATAACTCTGAATTAACACATTTAAACCAGTCAAGGAGAGAGATTCAACTGTGGTTTTAAGTGCCTGAAGCAAAACGTTTTGCAGCGCTACGATAAAAGGCCAGGGGAATGGAATTTGTGGAGTCATTCTGCAGGACTCATAAGGAAACTGAAATTTCATAATTAGTTTAGTTATAATCAGACAAAGTACACTAACCTAATATCAGATTATTCTGCTTAACTGCAGCTAATATAGATTTTAGTATTTTAATATCACATGACCTTGCTCAGCTTTACTTGGCATAAAACACATTGTTGGATTTTGAACAGAATGAAGGTAATGCACTAGTGTGTTTCAAAGTTACAGTCCAAACACCAGATTTCCCTATTTAGCACATTTCCATTTTGCAGGGCTATATCTTCATGGTTTAATATGTTGAGGTAACACCTTCCCAATGATATTAAAATGTTGGCATGCCATGGTGATAGGCAAGGAAGGAATTACTGCAGGAAGAGATAATATAGAACTAGCTGAGGTCTACACTAGTTTTGTTTTAATTAGCAGTATTTTAGAAGAGAAGCAATGCAATCTGACCAAATACAAGTTCTGTATTAGAGCTAATTTGTAACGTTTAGAAGTTTGTAACATGTATAAGCCATCAGAACCTTATTCAAGACTATATATTGACTGAATGTATAAGGATATTTCATTACTTCACACTTTATACAGAAACCGTGTAGCAATTTGTTTATTGTAGTTTTGTGTGATCTTCTACATTAATATCATAATGTTCTGAAGGTATAAACAGCTTTGCCACTATACCCGTTGTCTCGAAAAAGCTCATTCCATGCATCCATAACCAAAGAGTCAAAAACATCAGCTGACAGCCACAAAAGAACAAGCAGCCAGTGATGAGTGTTTGAGTTCACGAGTGACTCTTGCCAAATAAGTGAAAATTGAGATAATGAGCTCAGTATCATGGGGACTTGAGAGCATACATCTCTCTTTACAAAACAAATGGGCTTTTCTTAGCCATAAAGCAAAAACAAATGGGCTTTTCTTAGCTATAAAAGTAAGAATATCAGGCCATGAAGAGGGGGCATGATCCACAGATAACTGGCTCCTTAAGGAAACCTGTCAGGACATAGTGGGAGGTGACACTAACCAATGCACATCACCCTGAAGAGTCAGTGATTAATCTCACACCTCTCAAACTGATTAGAAATAGGCCTAAGCATTTCAGAATGTAAGGAAATAATTGATAATGCGGTGACATTGTAGCCCAAGTACCAGCTTTCAGTGAGTAAGGGGCACATCAAGTTTGTGCAGCTTGCTGTCCAGTTGAAAGTAGAAGGTTCCAAAGAAGATGTGGTGACCCTGTGCCCTAAGCTGAACTGCAAAGCAGAAGCTGCAGCATGCCTGTAGAGTTGCTGCCTTCCTTTGGTCAGTATCTCTTTAAAACTTAAGTAATGTCTCCTGAGTTACCTCACCAGACTTTCTGAAGAAGGGTCTAGGCCCGAAACGTCAGCCTTCCTGCTCCTCTGATGCTGCTTGGCCTGCTGTGTTCATCCAGCTCTACACCTTGTTATCTACCTCCTTTGCCTGAATGGTGAAAGTCTCAAATGAACGAATAACTAGTGGGGCAGGAGTTTAAATTATATCCTAACACTTACAAAACCAGCGCAAACATGGGTCTTTGCTGTTGAGATTAACCGATGGCAGGACAGGCCCACACAAAATGTCCAGCCTGGCAGCTTTTCCTCGGTAAAAACCAAAAGAACTGCGGATGCTGTAAATCAGGAACAAAAACAAAGTTGCTGGAAAAGCTCAGCAGGTCTGGCAGCATCTGTGGAGGAGAAAACAGAGTTAACGTTTCGGGTCCGGTGACCCTTCCTCGGAACTGATGGCGGCTGGGAAAACGTCAGTTTATATGCAGAAAATAGGGAGGTGGGTGG